CGTGACCATGTGTCCTCAGGAGAAACAGCAGCAGCGAGACATCCCTGTGGCCCTCCACCTCCCAACCCTTCTCCACGTACCCATCCCTGCCCCTAATCTTGGAACCCAATCTGGTCAACTCTGGGGGAAGGTAGTGCTTACAGACAATTAGAGATGAAGGTTGAACAGAGATAAAGAATTGGTCCTCTGGGCCCAGAGAGGATATAGATCTTGGCAAACCTATGGGTGAATATGAGTCAACAAGGAACCAGGCCACTGCTCATTTCTTCCTGAATGTGACAATCGATTGCAAAAAGATCACTGGCAGGGGCTGGTGGTGCTTACCAGCCGTTGGGCCAGGGGCACGTGCACAGTCTGAATCGTCAGGCCGCCTTAGTCTCTCAGAGAGAGAAGGGCCCAGGTCCAGAGGGCGGAGAGCAGGGCTAGGATTATATGGAGCCAAGAGCAGTTGTCTCTTGCCTTGAAGTTGGTCCATTTCTAGAAAAAGTGTATACGTGTGTGTGAGGGGGAAGGGTGGGGGGATATATTTATCCCTCTGTTCAACCAAAAAAAAAAAAAGAAAAGAAAAAAACACCAGAGCCAACTCACAAAGGGTTTCTCATTAGGGCCAAAGCTAAGTTTGCCGAAACATGATCCCAGATCCCAGACGAAGACCCCGCCCCAATCCAGCTCACCTGGAGGCACCCACCATGAAATTGCACTTGGTGACTGTCTCAAAAATCTACGTGTACTGCTTGCCTCAGTCCCTCCGTCCTGCCGGAATTTTTGCTGTACAAACTTGGCTCAATGTATAAAAATTCCCATTGAAAATAATGAGAATTCGGTATCAAAGTGAAGTCCTAGAAAGAGGTGGGAGTGCGGAGTACGGTGGGGGGAGGGGAACAAAAGACAAAATCCATAAAGAAAGTGCAGAGGGTGGGGAGAAGGTTGAGTGACAGGCTAGTCCCCGACGTCCGTGTCTCGGTCCCCAATGAGCCAGAGGACATGGAAGCTGAGTGCCAGGAGCCCAGTGCCCAGCAGGTCCCCCAGAGCGGTCAAGTACGGGATGGAGAAGTTGTCGGGGTCCAGGCCCCGGCCCCACATCCAGTGCACCATCCAGTCGGCGATGTACAGGAGAATCAGCACCTGGGGAGACAGAAGGGTTCGGTCTAGGGCCCTCCCTCTCTCCAGGGGGAGCCAAAGGCCACTGGATCGGACCCATTGACTGCATCACAAGGCCTGGCTCTCCACAGTCCTTGTGCTGGGGCAGTTCGTCTCTCCACACGGTGACCTCTCTGTTCTCACCCGCAGTGAGAATAGACGACAGGCATACTGTGAGCCCTTTAGAGAGGAAGATGCTCTACTCTCCGGGGTCACCCACATCAGCATTACATTCCGCTCCCCGACTGAAATCCTACGTGCCACAGGAATTCAGCCCTCTCGCCTCTAATTCTAGGTCACCCTATTCGCGGGTCACTCCAATTCCCGCCATGCTTGGCAGGGGGCAGGAGGCAGGGGCAGGAGTTGGCTTTTCAGAGCGGGATTTCTCCCCGGAGCCGAGTGGAATAAGAACAGTGCTGGAGACGGCTGTCCGCACAGTCGTCTGCGTCACAGCTGATCGCCCCAGGCTGGCTTCCTCCTGACCCTCCCATTCTCCCATTCTGCTGTTGTGGCTCAAAGAACGCAAGTGTGTTTTAATGTCAGTCTTAGCAAAGCAGAATCACGAACAAGTCTGCTAGACAGAAAGCAGACAGTGCACAGCAATTCGAAAGACATTTTGGATACCTGCTGCTCCGATGTCTCTGCGCCCTTGCGTTCCCGCCAGCTAAGAAGGATCTGGATTAGAAGCCTGCTAGTGGGCCCAGGACCAGCAGCAGCAGCTGGGAGCTTGTTAGAATGCAGTCTCAGCGCCCCCCCCCCCCCCCCGGCCCCTCAATCTCCTAAATCAGAATCTGCATTTAAACAAGATTCACACGCAGGTTTAAGTTGGAAATGCATTTAGATGCGATGGGCAGGCCCACATCTTCTACGTGCTCTGCGCCCTCCCTGACAGGTGGGCTCCCTAAATCAGTGCACCTGGCTGAGAATGAAATGGGTTCTAACGGGAAGGCTCCAGCACAGTCATTGGGGAGGTTTTACCCTTGACTGTACTTTGCAAATGCTGCGGTATGTAAATTCCGCCCTAAGGGGCGCAGATGCAGAAAGCAGAGACTCTCGCAGGATAAAGAAACTAGAGTTGATACCTATTTTTAGGCAAACTTGGTTGTTCTCCTGTCTTCTCTCCAGGGGGGCCGGTGCTTACAGTTCTAGCACCCTTCACATCCCCCCTCCCCTGCACAGCTGCCCGGTACCCCTGTGGCCCTGGCCCTGACCCTGGGTGAGGGCCAGCCCCTCCCCCCAATAACTTCACACCCTTTTCAGCAGAGCCCCAAATTAAGAGTGTGGCAGGAGGACTTCACGCTCTGGAATGGAATGGCAGCAGCTGTCCCTACATTCCACCCCTGAGCAGGCCCTGGGACACATGGCTGAGGAGGCAGCAAAGGATCAGGAAGAACCTTTCTGGGGATCAGTGCCAGGTGCTGCCCCTCCACAGGCCTGGAGAAGAGGAGGGCAGAGATGGATAGTGAGCTAAGGCTTATCCTTCCCAATGCAGGCCAAGGGCTAACCTCCAGCCTCAGACCCTCGCAAGGGAATGTGGTGACCTGGGTGACTGCTTCCGGGAAACTGCATGTGGTAGGTTCTCAGCCCGGCCCTTGCCAAGGTGTCCCAACCCACAGCCTTTCTCAAGGTGGGGGTAAGGGGTGCAGGGATAAGTGATGGCCAATAGGGACTGGTTAAATGAAATTAGGGAGCATCTCTAGAACAGAATAGAATGCAGCTGCGAAATATCAGGGTGCTCTTCTCTTTACATGTTGATGTGGAATGATCTCTGCGATAGACGCATAGTTATGTGAAAAAGGCAGGGCTACCTGTGTGTAAAACAAAGAGGAAAGTAAAAAAAATAGGTATGTTTGCTTATATGCATTTGAAACAGCGTGGAGGGCATATAAGAAATGGATACACGGCCGTGACCAGTCTGGCTCAGTGGATAGAGCGTCAGCCTGCTCTATCCCAGGTTCGATTCCCGTCAAGGGCATGTACCTTGGTTGCGGGCATATCCCCAGTGTGGGGTGTGCAGGAGGCAGCTGATCGATGTTTCTCTCTCGTTGATGTTTCTAACTCTCTATCCCTCTCCCTTGCTCTCTGTAAAAAATCAATAAATTATATTAAAAAAAAAAGAAAGAAATGGATACACGGATGGCCCGGGAGGAAGAGAACTGGATGGCTGGGGGTGGGGGTGGGGGCAGAGCAGACCTTTCACTGAGGTTTCACTATGAACCTTTGAAATGTTTGAACTGTGATGTGACTGTTATTACCTATTCACAGACGAATCTCTACAAGTTTAAAATGTAATAATTAGGGTGAGTGTGGCTATAAAGAGGCAGCATGAGGGAGCCCTGTGCTGATGGACCAGTTCTGTGCCTTGACTTGCTGGTGGTTACATGAAGCTACACATGTGATAACACTGCACAAAATTACACACACACACACACACACACACACACACACACGAGTGCATGTAAAACAAGTGCAACCTGAATAAGCTCTGTGGATTGTATCAGCTTTGATTTCCTGCTTTTGACATCGTGCTACCTTATGTAAGAGGGTACCGCCGGGGGAGACTGGTGGACAGTACATGGGATCGCTCTGTACATTTTTTTTCACTGCCCTGTGAATATATAATTATTTCTAAATAAAATGTTGAAAAACGTAATAACACAACAAGGGAGAATGGCAAGGCTGGACAGGATCCTACAGATTCTCTAGCACACTGGTTTCAACAGTTTCTCAAGCCAGGAAACCCTTTATTCATACGAAGTCTCCTGAGGAAGCCCAGCATGCAAAGCAGAGCCACGGGGAGCTCTGCGGTCAGAGCGCACCTGCTCAGCGCCCTACAACCACCTGCTGAAAACCACCACCTCTGGTTCATTCCTCTCAACTTACAAACACTTCAATCACTGGGCTCAGAGATCATTCTACCACTGGGCCAAAGTCACAGCCTGTGCGTCCGAGCCCCCTGTCCAGTGTTTACCTGCCGTCCAGTCCCGGAGAAAGAGGTGCAGAGTGTCTGATGGGCCAAGCCTGGGCCTCCCCTCCCACCCCTGCAGGGCAGCCCGGCCCCTGGGCCCCTGCCAGTCGGTACCTGGAGCAGTGCGGCTGTCATGTAGAAGACGATGAAGATGAGGGTGAGTGTGGTATGCCCTCCCTGCATACAGCTGATGGTGTAGAGGAAGACCAGGTGTCCTGGAACCACAAGCAGGAAGAGGACCCGGGCCGAGCGAGAATTCACATCTGGGAGCGAGGAAGAGCAGGGGTGAGGAGGAAACCTGGCCCCAGAAGGTCTTTCAACATCAGGAGGTACCACGCTACAACTCCAGGGCAGCAGGCAGCGGACTGCCTCTAGCTCTCCATCCCCTGGTCCCAGCCCCCAGGGGTTCTCAGGAAAGGAGAGCCTTCCTGCCTGGCCTGTGCCCACTACGACAGCTGGTATCTGGGCCCAGCTGTTTCCTAAGTGAAGCTCACTGACTGCTGACCCTTCCCTCCAGGGCTGGAGTGGACCCAGGCTGGGGGGACTCTGCCGTTACCAGGACTGAAGAAGGTGGTACAAGGACTGGGGCAGCGGCGAGGGGCCTGCTCAGAGTTCTCCCCGGGCATTCCGTTCATGTGCAGGAAGGTGGAGATGCGGCTGGCCTGCACGGCCACCAGATTGCCCCCGACACCTGCAGAGACAAAAGGACCTTAGACATGGGGGGAGGGAGCAGTCCCCAGGAGGAGAGTGAGACATGGAGAAGAAAGACAAAGACAACCCCCTACCCCCATTCCAGGAGTCTTCCAATCCTCCCATCCCCCCGCTCTGGAGATGTGGCAGACTCATGCGGCCCTGGTGTGGCTGCGTGTGCAGGAAGGGACACAGGCAGATCTGTCGACTCAGGGAGCCTGAGTTCTCCAGCAGCGGGGTGTATGCACCTGCTGTTGCACACAGTCCGGGGGATGAGGCCCTGCTTGCCTCGGGCCCTCGCCAAAGCGCCGAGCAGACCCAGGGACCCAATGGTTCTGGTAACCCATGTCAAGGATCAGGTCTGAGCTCTGTGCTCTGGAATCTGGCGCCCAGGAACTATGCTTACTCTCCTTGGCATCCCATCCCCACCCATTCCCTGCTCCCCTCGGCCTTGCTCTGAGCCCTGCGAGGCTGACTCTACAGACTGTATCACCCAACCTCCCGTGATGGTGCTTCTAATCAGATTTGTTCAACAGGAGGCATGAGTAGGTGATCAGAAAGGGTGGAGGAGAGACAGGGGCCAGGTATTTCTTTCCTGTTCCCTCTCTGCTTTGTGGCTGTGGCTTATCCCTGCTGGGGGCAGAGGAGGGCTCTTTCTGGGCTTCCATAACACTATTTTCTCCCCAGGCCCCTTGAGAACTAGGGCTTCCTGTTGCTGCTCATGTCCGGATGCTTCAGCATCTCTTGTTGGTCCTACCCGGCTCTCCCTTCTGGGAGAAGCCCCTTCATTCAAGTCTTGAACTAATTGAGCTGGGTTCTCTTGCCTGCTAGAACCCTGACTGAGGCAAAGCCCCCCAAATCCTCTTTGCCCTCTCCTTTCCCCTGGCAGCTGAGGCCAAACCTCACCGTTAATCACAGGTGTGAAGACAGCCATCCCTGCAAAGTTGGGGTCTGACACAGTCTTGTCCAAGATGAGGCCTCCCACGCTACAAAGACACAAAGACAAAATGACACAAAGGCCATTAAGGGGTTCTGTTCCAGTCCCTGGCACGAGAGGGGCAGGCCCATCTGGCCGTGGGCAGGAAGGGAAGCAAGGTGGCTCTCAGGAGTCCCTGCTCTCCCAGTCCTTGCTTCTTTCGCCAGAACCAGCTGCTGCTCATAACATTCGGCTGTCACAGTGCTCCCTGAGCAAGCTGATGGCACCCACCTCCCAAGCTGGCTGGAGGCGCCATCCATAGGGCAACCTGCTTGTGAGAACCTCTGCTGTTCTGCCTGTTCAGTATTTATTTCCCTTTCCTCAGGGGATGGTCTCTCTCTCAAACTCAGTGGCTGTGGTTCACATGACATTACTCCTATGAGGACTAGGCTCCAAACTCATCCAATCAAAGCATCACATCCCCAAGGCCACAGTGATTGGTTCAGGAATAATCATGTGACTGAAGGAGAGCCAATGAAATTTTATTGTATTATTATTACTAGAGGCCCAGTGCACGGATTTGTGCACCAGTGGGGTCCCTCAGCCTGGTCTGCGCTCTCTCGCAATCCGGGACCCCTTGATGTAGTAGTGCGCAAAGTGACAGGCGGCCGGGCAGGAGCCTGAGCCCAGGCACCGTGCCACTCCTGTTCATCCTGGCCCCGCTGTGCCTGCCACTGCCGCTCAGTAGCGTTGCGCAGAGGTGGGAGAGACTTGCACCACCGCAGCTGCGCTGACCAGCCCTGAGCCTGGCGTCTGGCGCCTGTCGGTCAGCTGAGTGGCGCTTCCACTGTGGGAGCACGCTGACTATTAGGAGGCAGCTCCTGCGTTGAGCATCTGTCCCTTGGTGGTCAGTGCACATCATAGCAACCGGTTGTTAGGGTTGTTAGGTTGCTTAGGTATTTATATATATATATATATATATATATATATAAATTATATTAGTATTTTTTTCCAATGAAACTTTATAATGGGACTTCGTGAAATTGTTGAGAGAAAGAATCTCTCTTACCACTAAATTAGTACAAGTAGAAAAGTATAAATCCGGAACTGCAGGCCAGCACAGGGAAAAGCAGAGCCAAGAGATGTCGAATACTGGGGCCCTGATGATATAATTTCTGCTCCTGAATCCAGCTGTGCCTTTTTAGTTCCCTGAGCCAAATGCATTCTGATTTTCAATGAAACCCTCTTCAGATGGTTTCTGTCATTTAAAATAGAAGGACAAGTGACTGACACACTATTGAAGGCATTTCCAGGGTCTGTGCCATGCTCCCTCTCTTCAGGCTTAAAAGGGAGTCTGTGGCAGGGTGGAGAGGGTGGGGGTAGGCACCCACGGCCTGAGCCTACCTGCTGATGGCCATGGCAATGATGACAGGCTCCCAGCCCGAGTACAGCACCTCCCTTGTGGCTGGGCTCCGCCGGGCCAGCACCACCCAGACCGGTAGCAGGGCCACGAAGAAGGCACACACCAGGGGGTAGATGTATTTCCAGTTTTCTGAGAAGCAGAGATCAGACGGAGGTGAGCACTGTGGCTCCCTCTTCCCAGCCTCCCCCTGGCTGATCCTGCAAATATCCCAACAGATCAATAGCCACCCCACACTAAATGCCTGGACATATATAACCTCGTTTGATTCTCACTGTAAGCCCAGGAGATAGGTGGGGCCAGGCTTTCCCATTTTGTAGATGAGAAAACCAAGGCTGAAAGCTTCCCCAGCACTGGACTCATACGGGGCAGAGACCAGATTCTAGGTGTCTTGCTTTGATCCCCAGAAATCACTCTCTCCCCTCCCCTTCTCCATTTTGCAAGCAGATTCCAGCCTTCCGTTCCCTTCCTTTACCCTGTACACCTTACCCCTCCAAGGCAAGCAATAATCCAGCAGGAATATACATATTTCTCTGATACTCTCTATCCTGCCCCTGTTACCTGCATGAACTTGAGATAAGCACTTAACTTCAAATCTCTAAGGTGGGGAGTTATTACAACTGTATTCCAATCAAATAAAGAACGCAAAAGGAATGCTTGCACATTTGCATATACACTAACCATCTCTCCCAACCCCACCCAGGAGGCCACCCGGCTCACACCCTCGGTAGCCTCATTCTCACCCAGCTCCAGGTAGAGTCCCCAGCTGATGCCTGAAAGCAGTGCCAAGGTAATGAGGTCCCCCAGGCTGGCAGCAATGGGAGTGGCCACGTTGTCTGGGTTGATTCCAATCTTTCGAGAGCCAATGATGACCCCAATCATGATCATACCTGGGGAGGAAGGAGAGGAGCCAGGAAGGGTAAGAAGAGGTAGAGGGGTAGCAACAAAAAGAGAGACTGGAAGTGCCAGGCCCAGGTGACACCTCTGGGGCAGCTCTCCCTACTCCCTTTCCCTCGCACCCTCCTCCCCTTCCCTTCCCTCCTTACCTAGTACCAGGGAGGCAATGAAGGCTGTGGCCACACTGCTGGCACACAGCAGAAAGGCATGCGGGATGCTGAAGTGGCCGTCAGGGATCCAGCCAAAGACGACAGCAGCAATGGACGCCAGGAAGCCCACCACTGTGGCCTGCACCTGAGGGGGGAGTGGTAACTGGAGC